TCTCGACGGAGAGTGTGGAACGAGCCAGGAAAGGTCACATATCTTATACTTGTTCCATCCTCCCACATAAACCATTTGTATCGTAAAAGTTCTACAATAAATATCATACCTTTTATATCAAAAGAAAGATAAATATTATTGGAGATTATTGAATTACCTACCTTCGACGGATCCAAGGAGCCATAATCTACATCGCCGACCAACAGCTAATTATCCTGGGGTTTTACCTCCTTAACTGCAAGAGAAAGAACCCATCAACGGAGACGTTCTGTCGGATCGAAGCCACCTCGCATCACCCAGGACGTCACAGGTAGCAGTTAAACTACCTCAGACTACAGTTTCAACGAGGAAGAGTACTTTTCAATTAAAAAAGCCTATCAAAACGCGAATGAGTGCAGAGGTTTCTAAAATGATAGAAGAAATGTGGGCGCAACAACAGTCCAATGAAATACGGAAATCTTCAGTGGTAAAAAAAAATACATTTCATGCGATGCGTAAAAAGCCGACGAGTATGGAACAAACGTTGCAAGAAAATGTCATCTTGGATACGCCGGCGAGTCCAGGTAACAAAAGTGTTGGACAACGACAAACGGACGGACAAAATCCGTTTTTTTTTTGGAGTTTTTAATGTGAACAAAAACGTTTGCAGGTATTACCCGTGAAGGCGTTCATGGAAAACAAACGAGCTTTCTCTCACTGACGCAACAGGTGGAACAATTTCCATGTTTAGATGAAACGTGTAATATAAATATAACGAACAGTATTTCAGGTACGTCGGTGCGCGACGCTGTACGTGCCGTACGCGCGACGCACGGTAAACGTTGGTTTTTGTTCTTGAATATTTTACATACGGATGTTGAATGTTCTGTGTCGTTTTTTGTTCCAGCAAAATGGTCAGATATGAGCCTGGCAGAACGCAAGAAGTGTATGGATGAAGCGATAACGCCAACACGTGAAAAAGATGACGAAAAATATGGTAAATTTATCGGCATGTATAAAAACGATGGTGCCAGTGGGGAATTTGACAGTTCATCGTATCCACATTCGTTAGAAATGTTCAAAGTACGTATAAAATATTTGGTAACTTTTATTGTTGTCAGATAAGTGTCGGTTTACGGTCGCGTTTTATACATATAGATGTTACATATGTTCGGTATCGTCGACGTACCGATGCGGTTGTTAACGCGTTGTGTGAGAACACGTATACGTGTGTGGGCGTTACATATGTCGCGTTTGATTTCAGATATTTCGACAGAAATTTGGTTTGTCTACGTTCAGACCGACGCAGGTGCAAGCTATGAATGCAACACTTTTGGGATTTGATTGTTTCGTTTTAATGCCAACCGGAGGTAGAAAATCTCTTTGTTATCACTTACCTGCCCTCGTGAGTCGCGGAGTAACGATCGTCGTTTCGCCGTTAAAGAGTCTTATTTTGGACCAAATTCAAAAACTCCATTCGCTCGATGTAAGATGATGGTGATATATCGTTACGCGTTTGTATATATATTTGGACAAAACAATATATATATATATATATATGTATATATAAATCAAGTACACGTTGTTACCGTACACGTACGAGTTTCGATACTTGTGCGTAAAATGTCGTTGTTTAAAATTTTGAAATTAAATATTGCACAGATTCCCGCAACTCATTTCACCAGCTCTACAAAGGATAATCGAAAAAAAATCATATATATGGAACTCATCAAAGAACATCCTGATATCAAAATATTATACGTAACACCGGAGAAAATTTTTGCGTCGCAAAACGTCTACAATATTCTGACCCGTTTATACGAGAGAGACATGTTGGCGAGATTTGTTATTGACGAAGCTTACTGTATCAGTCAATGGGGTCACAATTTTAGGCCGGCGTATAAAAAATTGAACACACTCAGAGACCGTTATCCCAAAGTGCCGATAATGGTTTTAACCGCGACAGCTGCTCCGCGCGTTAGAACGGATATTTTGCATCACATGGGTATAACTGAGCCAAAGTGGTAAGTCAATGTACATTTATTGCGGCACCGGTGCACCGGCTGCGCGGCCGGAACGATACATGTATATATTTTATATATATATATATATATATTTTATAATATATATATATATATATATGACGTATGGTTCATTTTGTTTTCCAGGTTCATGTCGAGTTTCAATAGGCCAAATTTAAAATACAGCGTACGCGCAAAGACGGGTAAAGCGTGTTATGTTGGAATTGCGACGTTGATGCAGACGACGTTTCACAATACTTGCAGCATTGTTTACTGTTTGTCACGCAAGGATTGCGACGAGTGTACCGAGTATTTACAGAAACGCGGCAGTAAAGCGTCGAGTTATCACGCAGGCGTCTCGGATTATGAAAGAACAAATTGTCAAGAGAAATGGTTTGCCAACGAGGTATGTACGACACGCGTTCGTACGCGTGTTACGCGCGTATGTTTGCGCACGATATATGTATATTCGTAAAAAATTATCGTACGTCAACGCGTGTTGACACGCACATGTGTTTGCAGATATACGTTATATGTGCGACTATAGCCTTCGGAATGGGTATCGATAAACCAGACGTCCGCTTTGTGATACATGCAACTCTACCAAAGTCTTTGGAAAGATATTATCAAGAAAATGGTCGCGTTGGTCGTGACGGTGAGAAGGCGGAGTGTATTTTATATTATCGATATGCGGACATGTATAGAATCAGAACAATGATCGATTCCGATACGTCAACGCAAGAAGTTCGCAGTACTTACGTAGCGATGTTGTTAAAAATGGTAGCATTCTGTGAAAATATTACGATGTGTCGTAGAACGTTACAGCTCGAATATTTTGGAGAAATATTTGACGAACAACGATGTCTGGCAAACAAAGCAACTGCGTGTGATACGTGCACGGACAAGGTAGGTGGTATATGTACGGTATATTTTAAACGTAGGACGTGCTACATACCGTGTGACGTGACAAGTCGCGTCTCCTTCCCGGACGGGCTCGGCCGAGGGGAATTCGGGGATGCCTCCTCGTTGGAGCGAGAGGGGGGCGGTTGCGTGTATTGTTTGGTCTATGTCACATCTGACGGTATAATCACAACTATGTTCCACCCGCATAAATTTTTCGATGTTCCATTTTCATTGCTAGAAGTCCACAGCATCTGAAAACAACATTATAATATAACCATCATTCTTTAAATTAACTGTCACAACAAACACTCAGCTGATCCGAACACGCGTTCTTAAAGCAGTAGACATAAGCCTAGAGAACATGGCTGCCTTAAGGTACCCTTTCAAGCTTAAGCCCCATTTGCATGAATCACACTATAAACTTTTGGACAATTGCTTGTTGAAATTCCCCAGAGTCACTAAAATTGATCGTAAATGAATATTACAAGCTTTATGAGATCTTTTATGCAATATAAATTCAATTCAACACACGAATAAATACATGTTCCATAAGAATAAACTCAGAAAATTAAAATAAAATATAAATAAATTAATTAAAAGTAGATTATTCATAAGAACATAACCTTTTATGCCTGAGAAACATTATCACGCTAAAATAGTAATTATCTCATTAGCATTTTTTCAAACATGATTGTTATAAACAATTAAATTATATTATTAACAGACCTAGTTAGTGTGATTACTAGAACTATCACAAAAAGTCAAATAACTTTTGATTATAAACCATTATTGTATCTCTCAAAATAAACTAATTAACAATAAAATTTATCATAAAAATATTATTAAAGATGATAAATAAAATCACTACAGATACCCAGCAGAGCATGTCAAGTAACCTAACAAAAACTCCCACATCATATCTCTTCTTAATTCCGAGATATAAATAAAAATTATGGAAATCCATAAAACACAAAAATTTTAAACAACCTAAAATAATGCCTTTAATTATCTGAACACAACAAAAGAAACCCCATATTTTTATCTCTTACCGTTCTCGAGTTATAAATTATTAAAGTTTCACATCCGCCATTTTGAATTTCCTACCCTTTAGACTTACAAAGACCAAATCACTTTTACATTAATATTTTAGTCTTTTATACATTTTAAAGCTGAAAAATTACATTTCTGAACGAAAATTTTGACACTTAATTATTATGATAAAAATAGAATCTCTCATACTCCTAAACACCAGTAACGTTAACGCCGATTTTCTATTTAAATTAATTAAATTAATAAACGAGATTGAAAATTGAACATTCACTCCATGAAAGACGAGGATAGTTTAATACCAATTCACAGAGAGTAAGACAAGGATAGCCTTATAAACTCTTAATAAATTAAAATAAAAATGAAAACAAATAGACGGAGATAAAACAATTATAGAAATACATGCTCCTATATTTATGGAAAAACACCACATTGAAATAACTATTATCTTATTAATATTTTTCAAAACAATTGTTATAAACAATTAAAATTATATCAATACCATTTTACTAACTACGTCATCAAAATCATCTCGAAAAACTGATCGACTTAATGAAAAAATACTTACTACAAGATTGCTTGATTTTGCAACTTATTTTTATAAACAATTATAAATAAATAATTAACCACACTAATAATAGCCGTTAACATGTGCCCCAGGTTATGCATAATAACTTTTGTATAAGTCAAAACCTCGTCACTCCTCTGGTTGAGGCTACAAAAAATTCCAAAGGGAAAGACACCCGGTATAACAGTTTAGCATGGGAGTTGTGCCATATAATTGATATTTTTCTATCACAACTACCCGAAATTCGACTATTTCAAACTTCAACCCTTAATATCTCTTAAATGACGTCTGCAAAAAATACCCCGTTTGGATGTAAATTAAGTTTAAACCTTCCTCTTCAAGCCCATATGGAAAACATAAATTTTAACAATTTGCTACACCTAATTAATTAACGAAATATATACCTCCGTCTGTATTATGACGTATAATTGGCAATTATATATCATGAACATAAAAACTCGTTCTGGTAAATACAAATTTAAACCGCGCACATAAACTCTGCATTAGTACACCTACAAAAAATGATAATAACTTTTATTTCTGCAATTGTTTATTTACGAAATATTTATAACAATAAAATAACGAATGTTCATAAACGAGATAATATTAGAAATTCAAAACCTCTTAAACAAAGAGAACATAATAATATCAATACGCGAATTAAAGAGTACCAATTTATTTAATTAATAAATTGTTATTGACAAATACATATATCAACAATAAAATTTTCCAATGCTATATTATACTTTAGTGAAAGTCCTACAATATATTTCCTATACACTCCCATCAAATTCCCAACCATTCGTGAGATATAAAAATAATAAAAATCCTATTATATATATATATATATATAAACAATTTAATTTCATTAATTTCCTGTACTAATGAGAATGCTGACCAATTCTATCTGCACGATATATTATTAACCTGATATCAGAATTATTATTAACACCGCTAACATCACATTTATTAATATTACTATTAACAAATATATATATACTTACCAAAATTAATATAAATATCGAATGTCAAGCGCCGAAGCGTTACTCACGAATTCGAGAAAGATAAAATTGTATTATGCGCAGCATAAGGAACACGAATCCGAGCGAGATGCGAGTATTGTATGATCTGAAAGAAAGAAAGAGAGAGTCAGATATACCATATTAACTATTAGACAAAGAGAGCAATATCTCTTATACTTTAGACATGCTAATAATGACTTAA